GAGCTAGCTAACTCTAAGTTCAGGAACAAAAGCCAACGTTAGCATGCTAGGGGCTAGCTAACTCTAAGTTCAGGAACAAAAGCCAACGTTAGCATCCTAGGAGCTAGGTAACTCTAAGTTCAGGAACAAAAGCCAACATTAGCATGCTAGGAGCTAGCTAACTCTAAGTTCAGGAACAAAAGCCAACGTTAGCATGCTAGGATTTAGGTTACTCAAAGATCAGGGTGATTGTCGCTACCTGATCGTCCCGGGAGAATGATCCATACCATCGGCTCATTTGCACATCCAGATATTCATCCAGGTCGCCATAAATTATGTAATTATGGTACGAAAATTATTTCTCTTATCTTTAACTCACTAAAGAATGCTAATACACATCTTTAAAAAATGTTTTATGACTTTTCTGAGAGATTTTGCTGCTTTTTCCATTTTCTCCATCAAACGGCTTCTCTGACGTCATCATGGGACACGATCAGAGCAGTAAATCTGATTAAACCGTGTTTATCTGCATTTTAGTTGTTTTTTTATTTAGATTACGCACTATATAGCATAATGTTAACATGAAAGGAAAACATAAAACTCAAAAAGACTAGATTTAGGTAAAACTAGATCAGGTAGTGACAGTGCTATAGCTAACAAAAAACAAACATTAGATTTATGTTTAAATCCAGAGCTCTTAAAATTAGCTCCTGGAAGTAGCGTAGCATCCCATTTCCTCTACAGATCAGGAACAGAGGATAAAACAGGATTTTAAGGAATTTAATTTCTCAGGAAATACATTATTAACCTTTATAGTTCTTTACTGGACGTCACATTATAGTTATTTGACCTTAATGTGCATCAAAGATGAAACAGCAGGAGCTCCTTTGATGCTTCCAGCGCTAGCAGTCTGAACGTAGCATAAATCTAAGTATATATTTTTAGGGAGGGAAAAATGTAATTTAGGTATTTTTTACAAAATAAAATGGAGGGCGACCCAGATGTATACGCGGTTGCGCAAATGAGCTGATGGTACGGATCGACAGATCAGGTAGTGACAGTGCTATAGCTAACAAAAACCAAACATTAGCATAAGACCGATAGCCACAAGGTAGGCAAGTAATGTAACAATTATTTCAGTATTGTTTAGTAATAATAATGTTCATGTTACAAAGATAATGCTAACATCGTGCTAACATTAAGGTAACCCTTCTTTTTTCAGCTTGCTATAGATAAAAAGCTAACACTTCCACACAGGAATCAGAGTGACGCTAATATAGTCAGTAATGAAAGCTAACACTAGCATTCATAAATCAAGCTAACCCAAATATAAGCACGTCAAAGCTAAAAAAAAAAAGTTGACAACATTCAGGGATAAAGACAACCTAAATTTAAGCATGCTATAGGTATTGAAAGCTAACATTAGGATGCTAAGACTGAGCTAACTCCTATTTCAGTTATAAAAACCAATATTAGCATTCAGGGATTATGGTAACTAATGCGCCTCCATCTAGGTTAGCTTAACTCCTGCTTGTCTTATGTTAGCGATAGCATACTTAGGCTATCGCTAACTCACTCACTTCAGCATGCTATTGTCTTAAGCAAAGAAAATGATAGTGATTTTATGCAAAGTCTGAGTCAGCATTTAGCGTATTAACACTTAGCATGGCGACGCTACTTTAACACTTTAAATGTAGAACTCTTAAGGGCTGGTTATCGTCCCGCAGCAGTGTGTCGCAGTTAGCTTGTCGCAGGTATGACGCAGATATTTTTTATCTATACCCAATATTGAAGCGCGGTCTGCGCCGTTATTCCACGCCACAACGGCAGAGGGCCAATCAGGAGCTAGCTAGGATTGTGGGCGTCCGTGTGTCGGTTTAACGAGCTGTTCGCCGTCTACAACCCCTCATCCAACACCGTACGACACACAGTGGCGTCACACTGACCGTGGCGCTGCGTGTTTTGGCTTCGGGTGCAAACCAACAGTCCATCGCACAAAGCTCCAAACTAGCGTCCTGCACGGCGTCTAGGATAGAGTCCGAGGCGAGCCAGGCGCTGTGGACGGCGCTACAGCCAGAGTTTCTGCCATTAGGGACCAAACAGGAAATACGCATAATGTAGAGCGGATGTAGAACTGGCCAATCAGAGGCCTCCGGTCTGCGGCACTGTCTGCGTTAACTGCGACACACACGCAGACGAGCTGGTTTCTGAGCATAAATGAGGCTTTAGGAAGCAAACATTGTTTGGGTTCTGGTTTCCAGCAGGACTCTTTTCTAAGCAACCTTTAAACATTCAGTTTGATCTGAAGCAGCAGGAGAAACCAGATATGATGAGAATGAGAGCGTTTGAACACCAGGTCCAATCAGAGGTCAGCTGAGAGCCGTCAGGATCACACCAGAAGAAACCATGACGGTCTGCTGGGGTCGCTTTGGAATCAACAATAATAAATAGATTTTAAAAGGGGTTTAGTTCCTGAAAGCTGACTCTGATGACGTGGTGCTCAAAAAGACTGAGGAAGAGGAAGGGAGGGATGAGGAAGATGAGGATGAATGAAACCCAACTGCATGAACCCATGTCTGGCTGACGGCAGCCTGATGAAGATGGTGATGAAGATGAGTCCATCAGAGAGCAGCGTGAGGAAAGGAGAGAAGAGATGAAGGACAGTCAGACACAGGAACCATCATCATCATCAGAACAAACATCACAGCAGAAGAAGTTCCTCCTGTCAGGACACCCGGCACCAACCGGGCCGGGAACAGAACCAGAACCTTCCTGGCAGGCGGTCCGCTTCAGAGAAAAACAGATTCACAGGTTTGAGAAGAATTAGAGGAGAGAAAAACTTCTAACAGAACCGAGTCCTTCAGAGGGCTGAAGGTCCTGCTTCTGTCTGGCTGGGTCACGATCTACAGACCACTTCTTCTCTCAGTGGAACTAAGGTAGAGGAGAAGAACCGCCTGGAACCGGATCAGAGCGGTGGCAGAATCAGTGACGGTAACGCTGCTTCTGATCTCCCCGTGTCTGAACGGGTCGGCCCGGCCCAGACCTCACCATCTACACCTGGAGGACCTGGAGCTTCCCTTCAGCCTCCATCTTGTTCCTGTCGCAGAGAGGTCCACAACATCTGGAAGGAATCTGACTCTGATTCTGGAGGAACATCAGGGTGGAAACCTGGACCAGAGGCAGGACCGTCCCCATGGAGACTCCTGGTGTAGAGGAGATGTTCTGGAAGGTTCATGAAGAGGAGCAGCGGGGCAGGAACCCAGCCATCAGAGGGAACCAGGACTATTAGAAGGAGAACCAGAGCTGGACCCAGGTACCTTCAGAAGGTTCTTCCACTCAGATCAGCACAACCTGCTGGTTTTGGACATCCTAACACCTTCTGATTTACATACCACATCATCATCATGAGTTACCGTGGCAACCGCCCTGCTGTCACTCAACCTTTTCCACAGCTGATTAATGCCCTGAGGGACCAATGAGGTCAGCCAGGGGACCAATCAGAGGACTCATTACAGCTATCAGCTCAGTAACTAACGATGGGATCCAGAATGATAGCATGCTGCTCATCAAGGGATCAAAGCAGACGTTACCAAAGCGTGGAGCTTCTCCTCCAGGTCCTGATTGGCTCTCTGAGACGCTGTGTAGCTGTTCTGGAGTCTGCAGAGAGAGCAGGAGACGAGTGGTTAGAGGCTCAGCTGGAGAACCGTCCGCTTCCAGCCTGTCCCAGTCTGACCCAGTTACTGGTTCCATCAATCCTTTTAGCATCTTAACGGCTCAGGACTTCTGGAAGAATCCATCACGTCTCACCGGTAATCGTGATCATTGATCTAAAGGCATTTAAACACGTTTTAAAGCTTTAGCTACGTCCCAGCCGTCACTGAGCTAACATCCTGGATTCAAGTCACCCAGAAGCTGTAGCATCAGGAGCCATTTTACAACAGACCACATCGCTAAGCTAATGCTAACATTGAAAATGTATCTCCATACTATGACAACTGTCACACTGACATGAACTTACTAAGCTAACATTAACATGCTAAGCTAACATAACATTAATTCACCTGTGATAAGACTAACAAGACATAACCTTGTTAAGGCTAACATCACACACACACACATTAGCATGCTACGGTTAACATTCCGCTAATATGAACATAAGCTAAGATATTCCTTTACATCAACATACAAAGGCTAACAAAACTAACACAAACATGCTTAATCTAACGTTAGCATGCTAAAGTTGAAATATTGTTTAACATAAAGAGGCTAAGGCTAACATCACACACACTCATTAGCATGCTACGGTTAACATACTGCTAATATGAACATAAGCTAAGATATTCCTTTACATCAACATACAAATGCTAACAAAACTAACATGAGCATGCTTAAATTTACCTTAATTTAACATTAGTATGCTAAAGTTGAAATATTGTTAAACATAAGCAGGCTAAGGCTAACAAACCTACCATCAATATAACATAACGCTAACATTGCAATACTTAGAATAACATGAATCAAATGCAACCACGCCAAGCTAACATCAAGCTAACCTCACCATAAAGCTAATATAAATTTAACATCCTCATTTCAAGGCTAACGCAATGCTAGTCACACCTCCTTATGCTCATGTAACAGTAACATTACATGCTAACATTAGCACTTTAAAGCTAACATACTGCTCATGTTTTTCTTATCTTATTGTGTTGTGACCGTCACTATGTGTAAAGCTGCTGCTACACTGCAATTTCCCAGCTTGGGATAAATAAAGTACATCTATCTATCTATCTATCTATGTTAGCAAAGCCTGCGGTATTACAACACAAAGGTTAACAATACTAAGATCAGTGTGCTATTGGCGGCTGCAGCGCATCTAGCGATCTTTCCCAACATCGCAAAGTCAATCCTTTTAAGATGGTTAAACATAAATACTGCTCTCCGCATCATTGCGCACCATGGTTGATGTTTTTCTTGCCGCTTCTGCGTAGCAAGATGCAGAATAGTGACCTATGTCGGCTACTAATCGCGTTCATGTCGGATGAATGCGATCTAGCCGCATGTCGCATTAAACAGATCCGATTCGTATCAGATTCAGAACCTCAGAACCAAGTATTCTGGGTCTCATTGGGAAAAAAAAAATCAGATCTGTGTTGTTCAGACTGCCATGAAATGATCAGATCCAGGTCGCATATTGGGGATTTGTGTCACTTCAGGCTGCGATGTGACGGTTGGCCAAAGGAGGCGCTGCGTCCATCTCTGCACCTCTGGATCAGGCTAATAACAGGAGAACCTGAACAGCTGAGGAAACGTCCCACCCATAGACATTATATACCTAGACGCCTCATTGGACGCTGTCGGCAGCGAGGCCAACGTGCCTAGAAGGCAGCCATCTTGGATCAGACCAGACAGCTTTTTATCCTATTTTATATGTTTTTATATTTGCTATGGAACAGGTGAACTTCCCATCTATCCATTTCAGCTCAGGGAGAATGGTAGCCCGCTGCCGGCTTTAATGCAGAGTTCATTTCCCCATTGTGGGACCATGTAGGGATTTACATTAATCTTTTAATCTTTATAATTTTATTCTTTCCATCACCTGGAAGTTGGTAAGGAATCAAAATAAAATCTTATTATAACTCAGTTTTTATAAACATGGAGCTCCTCTGAGTAACTCCTTTATAATCACATTTAATCACAGACTGACTGAATTAATTAGTTTAAAACATATAAGAAAAACTTAATGTTTGGTTGATAAAAGCTGGTTTCATTTTTAATTGGGTCCTCAGAAAGCAGAACAGATCAGATTATTTTATTTCACTACCTAAAAGAAATAAAGTATTTTAAAGTGGCCATTGCAATGCACTCACAGGCCACTAGGGGGAGACATCCCCCGCCCCAGCTGGGAAACACGGCTCTAAACTATAAATATTATCACTTTCTATACATATCAGCTATTGATGAAACTGTGTCATCATCATCATCCTTACCTGCGGAACTTGTCCCTCATCTTGTCCAGGTCGTCTCTCGTTCGGCTAAGCTCCGCCTCCATGTAGTGACGGCTGCCCTCAAACTCCGCCTCCATGGCCTCCATCTTGTGGGTGGACAGGGAGAGGCGGTGCCGCAGGTCCTCATTCTGCTGCTGGAGGATTCTTGGAAAGAAGGCGGGACAGGAAGTGATTTAGTCTAATTAGTGGACCCCTCCCCCACCCGCTGCTGGAGGAAGGAACGACCCACAGTGACTCACCTGATCCGGTCCGTGTCTGAGAGCGCCTCCTGAAACAGAGCAGAAGGAGGATTAGGAGGAGGAGCAGCGGTTTGGAGCTCTGAGCTACGGCTGATCTGGTTAGCGCGGAGCTCCGCCTGGAGGCGCAGCTCCAGGCGGAGCTCCAGGCGTGGGTCATAAAGGTGTTTGGGATGACAGCTTTAGGGAAGGTGGGTAAAGAACAACTTTGCTGTTGGAACCAATCAGAAGGAAAGTTTTCCGTAAACGGAGAAGGAATCAAAGATGGAGGCAGGCGGGGAAACACGGGTGGATCAGAGACGACCCGTCTCCTCACCTACCTTGATGTGGGACAGCAGAGACACATTAGAAAGAGGGGGTCCAGGTCTGGGGGGGGCTTTTTTCTCCTTTGTGGTCCTCTTCACCCCTCCAGTTACCTTTCTAAGCCCCGCCCCTTGTGTGATGTCACCGTGGCCCGCTCTTTGGGGGGGCTCGTACCAACTGTCCGATCGACACAGTGACGCCGTCCAGCCGTCCCAGCGCCGCGTCCGGTCCACCACTTCCTCTGGATGGTTGAAGTCGGCCCGGTGGCGGCCATGCCGGTGGGCGGGGCTTGCTCGCTGCTTTTGTGGAGCCTTACCGAGCAGCGACAGGCGGGCGGGGCTCAGGACACGGCAGGTTATCTCGTCTAAAAAGCTGGAGAAGCGGACCTTCTCCTCCAAAACCTGCATCTTCCAGTTCCAGCCGCCCCCGCAGGGGGAGGGTGGCGTCAGGGACTGCAGGGAGGGGGGCCCCCGGTGCTCCGCGCGGCACCGCCCCGCGCCCTCATCCAGGAGCTCAGCTGACCTGGACTTCCTGAGGGTATCGTAGGTGTGCTCCACACCCAGCGCTGCCGGCTGCTTCAGGATGCCTCTAGGTGTGGCGGCGCAGGAGGCGCTCTTCATTCGGTGAGTCCGACCGTGGCGCTGCCGTACCGGAGAGCGCCTCCTGCTGGAAGCGGCTACTTGGTGACTTCTTCTGCTGTCTCTGCTGTTGGTGAGGGGGTGAAGGGCTGAGCTGTGACGCTCGGACGCTGCGACGCCTACCTCCAGCGTTCTGCTGCACCGGCGAGGGCGATGGGCGGAGTTACTGAAGGGCGGCGGCGGAGGAATGTAAAGTTCCAGGCTGGACAGGCTGGAGACGTCCAACTCGCTCTCTGAGGGCAGCGAGGGTGGGACGCCATGCTGTGAGGCACCGGAGGGGAGGCGGGCACAGAGGTGCTGGGGGGCGCTTTGAGGCGCATTTAGGGTGAGCCTGTTTACCTGACTGAAGTCGGGCTGCGAGGCAGGTGGCGGCGAAGCGGCGGTCAGGCCGTGGCGCGTCTCTCGGTGCTGTGGAGGAGCCTTCCTGTACGGCTTCCTGGCTGGGGCGGCGCTGGCCATCCTTCCTCTGCTTCAGTCCTGCTGGGAGATGAGGTAGTTAAAACACCCGACGCCGCCGCCGCTCACACGCCAACCGCTCAGCACAACGCCTGAACCCGACTGCTGATCGTCACGGCAACACTCTGCCTGTGAGAGCAGGTCGATGGCGGCTCATCAGACCCAGCTGAGTGCTGCTGTCAGAGTGGAAGCCTGAGGCCCACCATTGATCCACCTCTGTTTCCAGAACAGGAAGTGCAGCGGCATTGATCTGAGCGCGGCTAGCACTCAGAGCTAACCCTCAGCAGGCCAGAGCTGTGTGACATCACCACTCCTGTGTGATGATGTCACACAGCTCTCCCTGGTTAAAGTCACAGAGGAGCTAAACTTCAACAGTCAAACTGAGAATCCTGCTAAGAAGCGCTTCAAACACGGAGAACAGACCTGGATCAGGAACCATGGCGTGCTTCCGGACCGCTCTGGGTTACAGAGTCGGTCTCCATGCAGGAAGCGGGTCATAAGCGTGACTTTCCGCTCCATTTGGTCCCTCTGGATCACCTGACCACGAGCTGCTCCCAGGGAGCCAATGACAGGTCATCGACCAGCAGCACACATCCATCTTTCCATCTTAGTGAGGACCTCCCATCATGGAGCCTCGTCCAGCTGCAGGTTTCATCTGTTTGCAGAAGCTGCAGGAGTTTATTTTGGTTTGGTTTTTATACGTCTTCCTTTTTAAAAAGATCCATTTCTAACATTCCTCTTGGGTTACAGTAATATTTCTAAACCAGAATAATGTTTTAAGAGGTGAAATCTTTCTCTGAGCTTCAGGCTGTCCCCTGCAGCTCAGGTTTTCCAGGTTAGGAACTCAGACCAGAGCCTGGCACTAAACCACCTATAAAGATGGTGGGAAAAAGTGCGATCCCTCGCACCAGTAGGAGCCAGCATGTCTGATCAGGCGTCGTACCTTTTCAGATAGATCCTAATCAATCCAGCACTGTTTACCATCAGGCCTGAATTACTTTCAATAATTAGAGAACAGGAAAGCAAAAACAGATCATTGTAAAACTCTGAGTTGGGCTTTGCTTATACGTCCCGTCACACAAAGGATTGTGGGAAACCGTACAGCTCTGATGCAGTAGATCAGACGTGTCAGGAGGGCCCTATGCAAAGGAACTTCCTTCCTATCTACCACCTCTATTCAGACAGACCTGGTCTTACTGCTTTAGGTGTGAACGCAGCATGAACAGAGGAATGAGCCACCAACATCCAAACATCCCATAATAATCCACTGGCTTCCTTCACTCTTCATCGTTTTAGGGTCTGTCTGTAGGGATAAAGGCGGGGCTGGACGTCTCCAGGTCAGACTCATCCTCACTCTTGTTTTTCTGAGGTCACCAGGCGCGTGCGAGCGGTCACCGGGCGCGTGTGAGCGGTCACCAGGTATGTGCATGTGGTCATCTGGTAGTTCGGTGGTCCATACCTGAGCTGTGATGGTTTCCACAACAGATTTCATCCAGAGAGATGAGCAGGACTGAAACACAGAGAGAGCAGTGAGTGCCCCTAATATCCTTCTAACACCCTGCTAACATCCCCCCAACACCTCGCTAACACCCTGCTAACACCCTGCTAAAACCCCGCTAACACCCTGCTAACATCCCGCAAACATCCCCCCAACACCCTGCTAACACCTCGCTAACACCCTGCTAACACCCTTCTAACATCCCCCAACACCTCGCTAACAGCTCGCTAACACCCTGCTAACACCCCGCTAACACCCTGCTAACA